TGTGCACAACAACTCCTTATATGGCCAGGGCTGCAGTCATGATTGGCTTCCGCATATGCTGGACCCATGGGCGATCCCCACGTGGCGCACTGGGATTGGGCTTGGGAGTATATATTAGCCAAGGGCTGGGGGATTGGGGAGGAAGAAGCTTGCTGTAAGGGGCCTGAATAAACCGCTGAAGGAAGAGCTATGTGTTGCGTCTTCCTTGCTGGCGAGGTCTGAGTGACAAGAGAGTATGCAATGTGTTACTGAAACTGTTCTACCAATTTAATTTGAAACTGTCTCATTGCTATTTGTTTCTCAATAAAATTATGAAAAAAAAGCAAAGGTCACATTTAATTGGAAGCACCCTAAATGCAAACTTTCACCTCTCAATGAAAACCTCTTTGTATCACTGAAAATTCTGTTATTACATTTTGCTTTTAAGATAAACAATGTTAATATATGAGTTGTTTTTTCTAAACTAATACCTCAGTATCCAGATGTAATTGCAGTGTTGGCACTTTGTGGTAAATATGTGGGTCTGGAGTTGCCGTCTGGACACGCAGTCTCTAAAACATTCACAATTGCTGACCTCGTGCCAGCAGCGAGTGTTGCCCTGCAGACATTTTCATCTCAGATACCAGACTACAGCACTTCTGCTGTTAAAGCCACCCCACCTGTGAGACTCTTACGTGCCAGGAAACTAATATACCAGTATCAAAGGATTTTTCTCAAGTAGTCCTGAGTAAATGATCAATGTGAACTGTTCAAATACAATGGCTCATGAATTTTTATGAGGAATTCGTTTATCCAAATGTTTTAGAACATTTAGTTCTGAATAACACAGATGGTTCAAAAAGAGAAAATGTTTTCACTACGTGCTACAGGTATTTACAGCTAGAGAATAGAACAGAGACAAGAAAGTTAAAACCAACTGGGGAAAAAATGCTAGAATATAAACTCAAACAATTCATACAAGAGGGAAATTATTTAATTTCAATTTATGAAAAGAAAAAAATAGCTCTGGGATATATTTGACTACTAATCCCAAATGTACCACTTTTTAACAGAGCAGTAGTTAGCATCTAAAATGTGACCCTGAAACTCACTCTCCTTTATTCCCAAAGATGTGAGGAGGGATATTCTTCCTTCCCAAGGTCATTTACAGATTTATGATTCTATGCTTCATGATTTTGTATCCTTGAGATTCTTATAAAATTTTTTAAAATCTTCTATAAGGCAAACTGAACATTGATAACACTAATAAATAAGTTAGTGAGAAAAAAGTGCATTTTTACCACCTACTTTTCTACACTTCAAACGCCTAAATATAGTAAATTAGGTTCCTTTGGATTCTGAATGTATATTCCAAGATAACAGCTCTTGCTCTCCCTCTAGATCTCTCTCTTTCTCCAACCCATTTGGCACGTTCTTTAAGTAAAAAGAATATGATTTATAGAAACATTACATACAATCCTAGCTGTTATGCTTTGGGTTTAGATGTCCTCCCAAAAGCCTCATGCATTCATGGGGCAGCTTCCAGTTTGTGCCAACCTCATGGTCCAACACTGGGATTATGGTGTGGCTGCTACACCTGCCCTGGGGCAGGCGGCCTGCATACAGGGAGGGGAAGAGGCTGGCTCCGCAATGCTCCTCCCTTTTGGCTCCAGCTGTTGTGCTGTCTTTTCTGCAGCCATGAACTGCTGCCCTCTGCTATGTGCCACTCTGCCTTGGAGCCAGCCAGTATGGGAGAAAAGTGACTAAGACACTCGCCCTTCAATAAACCAGTTTTCTGCTCTCTCATCCTCAGGCTAAAACAGGTCATTTTGTGGGCATCAAGTACTAGACCTTTCGAAGTGTTATATTCCCCCTGGGAGCCTTCCCTCCCTCCAAAAAGATCCCCCTGAGTAACACTGTTTGGGGCAAAATCATTAGACTTATTAAGGTTAAAACTGATTCACTAAATCCAAAACAAACACTTTAGGAATTGTTAGTGACTGTAGACTAACAAAATGAATATTCACTTTTTTAAGTACTGAAGCAGGAAGAGGGTAGGGGATTGTTCTTTTGTTTGTTTGCTTGATTTGGTTTGGTTATTTGTATCCTGATCACATTCACCAGACCAGAATCAAGCCTTTATATCACTGTGGCTACATAAACCAGGTGTCACTACAAGATTCCAGTTGCACAACTGAACTATTCGGTTATAGCTTTTCATTATTTTTCTGGGTCTGAGAGCCTCCCTCAGTCTGCAGTTTATTAATAACTCTTTCATAAATGTAATGCAACCGTCTTTCACACCTCTAAGAACATTCAGAAGTGCTCACTCTGCTCCAGTTAGAAAATGCCATGGGAATTCCAAAAATAGCAAACATCTACCAGGGTATTTAGCACTAGATTGGCAGAACTTGGCTCAGACCTTCAAGCAAAAGTCTTCCAACTGTGGTTTTGCTTCAAGGCCAACTGTGGTTTTTGTACTGTGCTGAAGGGCCTTCGGGTAATTCTTATTTAGGGAAATTTACAAAATAACTTTTCGAGAACTGTGGCTTTTTTATAAGAACCATTCGGTTATCTTCACACAGCAAAATCCAATGAGAAAATCAAGATCACCTTTTCAAATCTCATGCTCTGCTGAATCACAACAGGGAACACAGAGCGAAAGCAGTCTGTCTCCAGGTACTGATTCAGGAGGTAGACCCCGAGGCACACATCTTGCTTGTGGGGCAGGAACACTCCAGGGCAAGAAACCTTAAAAAGACAGAAAACAACAAAGTGAAAGAGCAGCCAGGGTTTGTTTGGTTTTGAATGGGGCTCTATTTCTCTTACCCTCCACAGCCCTGAGATGGAACCGCTCAAGGGCACGCTCTTACCTGCATCTCCCCGCATCCATCCTCCCCTCTCCTCCCACAAACTGCAAATGTCTATCCCTCACCCGGTCTCCACCAGGTGTCACAATCGCGCTCTCGCAGGCGCCTCTCCCCGCCCCTCCAGGATGGCAGTGCGGAAGCGGAAGACGCCGCAGAGCCAGGAAGCCTCGCTCCAGGACGGCCGGGTCCCGGGCTCGGAGCCGCCCGCTGCGATGCCGAGCCCCCGGAGGAGCGTCGAGGGACGGCCGCTGGGCGCCTCCACGTCGAGCAGCCCGGGGAGCCCGGCCCATGGCGGCGGCGGCGGCGGCAGCGGCAGGTTCGAGTTCCAGTCCCTTCTCAGCAGCCGTGCGGCGGGCGCGGGCCCCCCCTGCGCCCGGCTCCGCGCGTCCGAGAGCCCGGTACACCGCCGCGGCTCCTTTCCCCTGGCCACCGCGGGTCCCTCGCAGGCTCCCCCTCCCCCGCTGCCCGAGGAAGCACGCATGGACCTGAACCCGTCCTTCCTAGGCATCGCCCTGCGCTCCCTGCTGGCCATCGACCTGTGGCTGTCCAAGAAGCTGGGGGTGTGCGCGGGGGAGAAGTCGTCTTGGGGCAGCGCGAGGCCCCTCATGAAGCTCCTGGAGATCTCGGGGCACGGCATCCCCTGGTTGCTGGGCACCCTTTACTGCCTGTGCAGGAGCGACAGCTGGGCCGGGCGCGAAGTGTTGATGAACCTGCTCTTCGCCCTGCTGTTGGACCTCCTGCTGGTGGGCCTGATCAAAGGGTTGGTCCGAAGGCGCCGCCCGGCCCACAATCAGATGGACATGTTTGTCACCCTCTCAGTGGACAAGTACTCCTTCCCCTCGGGCCATGCCACAAGGGCTGCCCTGGTGTCCAGGTTCATCCTGAACCACCTGGTACTGGCCATTCCACTGAGAGTGTTGGTGGTGCTGTGGGCCTTCGTCTTAGGGCTCTCCAGGGTCATGCTGGGCCGGCACAATGTCACTGATGTGGCTTTTGGCTTTTTTCTGGGCTATATGCAATACAGCATCGTGGACTATTGCTGGCTCTCACCCCATAATGCTCCCTTCCTGTTTGTACTGTGGAATCAACAGTGACACCATCTCACTAATGATGACATCAGGAGGTCTGAAGGTTTCCACACTCGATGCCAAGCTTAAACCAGCGGCCTCTCTTAAGATATTTCAGGCTTCCTTTGGGATTTCTGGTGTCCCACCAACTTGATATGTTACTAAGCCAGAGCACATGTAGGCCATTACTAAATACAGCCATATTAGGGAAATCAAAAAACCCTTCTATTATATGTGTATTCAACAATTGTTTTCTATCTCCAAGACAACTGAAAAGAAACCAAGCTGTGGTTATATGGTTGCTGTTTTTACAAAAGCTGACATGATCTGTGCTGTGTAGTAATCCCATAAATCAACATCTCACTTGTAAATTAAATTGTGACAAATAAACACGATCTTCATCCATAAAAATACATGCAGACAAGCCACATACTAATCCTAGTTCTTTTCCTGAGATGATGTGAAACAGTGTTTTAAAAATGGAAAGAATAGGTTTTTCTAGTTTATTCCCTGAAGAGCTGTTGTCACAACTGGTGAAATTCCTTCTTAATCCTGATTTTCTTGGTAAGCCTTTTTATATTCTCTTTCATTTTTGTTGACTGGCAATGAGAAAAGAGATTATTTCTCTTTCCCTGTACCTTTAGAAAGATGTTGGATGTTTATTTCCCATTACTCTAATACTGTCTTTTAGCACTTGGAGAGCAGACCAAGAACTTAGAGACACTTAAAGGTGGGCATGTGTAAGCTACCCACAGAGAAGTATGAGATGACGACTTCATGCTAATTATGTGGACAACTGGTAGCAGGGCGTGACAGGAGGCAGGAAAGCAAGGCTGCTAGGCAGAGTCAAAGGAACGGAGTTTACAGGTAGGTGGACCACATAGTATATCAATGACCAATATGAGGAGAGGGGCCCTAGTGCCCGGCTTCTCCACTGAATAATGTTTCCAGTAATAAAATGGGAAAATAACATGATTTTTTCAATACAAGTGCATAAGCTTTCTCATATGTACGATAAGGAAGATCTGTATGCTGTAGTTTTTCACACAGAATTCATTTTCCTGCAATAGAGCATGCTGTAGATAACAGTATTTTACTTGAAATTCATCAGGTCAGCCTGTTGCTGTATCGGGCACTAAGTGTAACCTCTAAATCCCGTTTACATTGACTTTACATGCAAAGCTGTTCATCCAAGGTGCCTCCCCGAATCGTTAAGACCAAAGACCACCAACTCCATAGTGGACCCTGCTCACTATTTTCCAGACCTGGAAAAACTGAAGGGGTTGTGTTTTAAATGCTACTCTACATGAAAAGAAAATCTTTTAAGTTATCCCTGGAACTGTTATCTTAAGGTAATGACCAATTATTTTGGCATTTATGAATAGAATTATGGACTTGGATTTGACAGAGACATGGATAGGAACCTGGACAATGCCTGTGATTGGGGGGAAGCCTGTACTTTGTGAGAAAGAGGGCATGCCAAAAGAGGAACAGCTACTACTCTAAATAAAGTTATTGTATTCCCACAACTCCCTGAACACTGACTACCTCTTCAGTTGCTGAATCAGCTATACTGTAAAGCTCTAAGTGGTTTGTATTTGTTGTTTAACCTCAGAGAATCCTTCATTTTAATCACAGCAATATTAGGGCCAGACACTGGAAAGCAATGAAATTTCCTCTTGCAGGGTCCACAAGTCTGTAGTCTAGGGCTTACTTTCTTGCCTTTAGTTATTCTTCTAAATTGTCTTTTTATTGCCAGAGCCTCAGTTTGCTGGCATCGGAAGCACAGAGCAATTCTTCTGACTTAGTGGAGCATCCTGAGCAGTACAGAGTGCTTAAGATGATTTCTTTGTTAATTAATTATACAATAAAAGTGGCTTTTAAATTTTAAAATAAAATTAATGTTAAATGAAGTAGAATGAAAGTTTCTGCTCTCAGACTGGGCATGGTAGAGCGCCTGTAATCACGCCACCATGCCCACTTGGGAGGCTGAAAACAGGAGGATCACTACAAGTCCACTCTACCTACAGAGACCTTGTAGACCCTGTACTTTAAAAAAAAGAAAGAAAAAAAAAAGGACAGAAAGCTTCTACTCTCATATGGAAGACACTAGCTTCTCAAGGGTTCCTGCTCAAAATTTAAAAGCTTGCAATTGCGACAGCACAATTAACATGGTCTGGCCTTATTTGCTGTCAGTAAAGTGGGACAAAATCAGGACATTTTTTTATTACCTTTGTTGGGCAGCTGCATACACGAAGAAACCTCAGCATTTGCTAATTGTATGGAAGCCAGCAAGATTTTCCTTAGCAACATCCTGTTAGCCTTGTGCTTGTAAATCTGACCTGTACAGAGACACCTAGCAGGTTGGAAGTAAAGGCACACTAACCACAGAGGAAGAATGGGAAAATGGAAACTGAAATAAGGACGACAGCTCCACAGGACCAATGAAGTCACTCTGCCCCAGCGCTTCACTTAGGAAGGATGGGATGAATAGCTGTAGAACATTTATCGATTTCCCTTTTGGAATCAGCAAGCCAAAGCCATCACTAAAGGAAATAGTTTAGAAAATACCTGATTGGTTCATAAAGCAGATTTTCAGGAAGTAAGTGGGCTTTTTAAATTATTCCATTATTTAAAATAAATGTTAAAATCCTTTCACAAATCTTTATCCTAAAAATAAGAAACTCCTACTTGAACTTAATGCAGGGTTGTTTCAAAACAAATATTTAAGATAAAGCTAAGAAATACATCCGCTTTGGAAGAACAAAAAAGTGGGGGGCGGGGCTGCTGAGCTGAATTGATGTTTATGAAGTCCAGAAAGACAAATGTAAAGAACCTTAAGGACAAAGATTTGTCCCAAAAGATGACGTGTGTGGTAGTTTGGGGAGGGGTGGTGAGGACAACCTAAACCATTTTAAGACTCTGACTTGGGGTTTAAGGAGAGCAGGGAGGTGCGTCGTTTTCTTACCGCCCGGATCTGCAGCTCCACCACCACTTCCAGAGGCATCGCTGCGTGGGCAAAAGGACTGGAATGACAAGTTCCTTTTGTGCTGAACCTTAAACCAATTTTTCTAGGACAGTTGTTCCCAGAAGCTTCCCCAGCCCCCCATCCCCTTGTTCCCCCATGTGTCCCCGCCCCTGGCCCAGGTCCCTCCCACCGGGACGGGTCTCTCACACTGATGAGGCGGGGTGGGCTGATAGAAGGCAGAAGCGTCGCGTTGCTATGGGCACTCGAACGCGTGGCCTCCGACCTTAGAACTGCAGCCAGGCCTCGCGCAGGCGCGTGGTGTGGATGCGGACTCTGGGGCGGTGCCCTGGCCACAGCAGGCTGCTCTGTACTGGCGTGCCAGGCCAGATGCCAAGGGTCCTAGTTTCCTTTCCAATTACTATAAAATGTTTACAGTTTCCAGTATAAAAGTGGGATGAGATCATAACCAGTTATAATTTTAAGTACTGTACGTTTTTGTTGGCCACGAGACCGCTAGGCTCTTACATTTCTGTAACAATTCCAATTTAATATAGTTGTCTATCCCTGAAGATAATCTCTTACTGTGTCCTCATGTTTGGTTCCAAAAACATGGTTACTGTCAACAAGATACTGCAATGCATGCTAATTAGAAATGGAAGCATAACATATTTGAAAGTTAGGTAGCCTTTGTTAGCAAAAACAGGAGTATTTGTTATTTTTTTCTCTTCACTGTATTGTTCAATCTTTCCTGGAGTTTAAAGCAAGCACTGAGTCACACTTTCTTTTCTTTTCTTTTTTTTTTTTTTTTTTTTCAGAACCGGGAATTGAACTCAGACCCTTGCACTTGGCGGGGAAGCGCTTGGCCTTAGCCTCAGTAACTATAAAATCTGGCTGAAGCAACAAGCAAAGCAAGAATACTAAGTAAAGGAAATTGCATTTCTTCCATTTATTGTATTTGATTTTTTTTAAAAAATGAAGGGAGGAGGAAGTAGCTACATCCTGCCAATTTCAGAAATCTGGGAGACCCACTGCTGTCTCGAAAATATATGTGTGCATGTGATTTGTCATTTATTGTTCATATTTTTCATTAGCGAATTATACAATTGCAAATGGTACACAAAGATTTCACCAGAGAAGAACTGGGTGTTCACATCAGTGATTGCAGTGCCTTCACCTGCAAGGGAGAAACTCAGTGTGACGAAGGCCAGCACTGTACACCCGTCCTCCAACCCTAGTGCGCTGTCTCTCTGCATGCCAAGAGACACACAGGAGGGCACCTGGCTACCTACAGTAGCCACAGCAATGGGGCCAGGAAGATGGCTCAGTGGAATAAGCGCTTCCCTGGCAAGCGC